AAAATCCTGGGACACCGGAACCAGATCCGGCCGGAACCGGAAGTAATTTAATAAGCCACATATAGTCATATGTTACTTTGTCGGCTGCCAGACTGGCAGACACTTCAAGTCATCAAGGAGAGAGCTCCCAAATGTTAGAATAAAAAGATTGACAAGCGTTAAACATCATAATGAATTGTTAATACAATCGTCCAGTCAAAAAGATCTTGGCATAATTACCACTAGCGATCTGAAATGGAACAAGCAGGTGCAAGAGATATCGACCAAAGCTAACAAAATGTTAGGTTTCGTCAAGCGAACAGCGTTCGATATTCGGCAGCAACAACTTCACAAAGTTCTTTACTTGACTATGGTCCGTAGTCAGCTGGCTTATGGTAGTCAAGTGTGGGCACCCCAGACGGTCAACAACATCATGATCGTTGAACGTGTGCAGCGCCGTGCCACTAAATTTATTTTGTCATTGCCATACCAAACAGACATCTCGTACAAGGAACGATTGATCACCATCGGCATCATCCCTATATGTTACTGGCATGAGTATTTGGATCTGGTGTATCTGTACAAGTGCATCATTTCTAACTCTGACAGAAACATCTCCATCAAGACTCCTGCTCGAGAAACACGAAATACCAACGCAACCAATGGCATTTTACTTGATGTAGCCAAGTACAAGACAGTGAGCTATCAAAACAGCTTCTACGTCAGAGTTACCAATGTGTGGAACACACTCCCCTACTCGATCAGAGAAGCCAACAAAACCGTGGTCTTTTTTAAATTTTGTTTAACTCATTCTCATCCGGTGGGAAAGTAGCAATTTCGAGTGGTGTTGTTTCAAACGCTTATATCTCTCAAACTATACATCGCACGGAAACAGAAATTGCATCGTTCGAAAGAGGAGGACTTCTGCTTTCCAAAAAAATAAAATGTTGCAATTATGCATAAATGTATTTAGCGGTTCAAATTTCAAATATGTCAAAAAAATTTATGAATATGACTGAAAGACACGGTTGTGATCTACAAGTACCCGAAGTTTCATGCATGTAGCATAAATAAAAATATTTTTATTGAATTTTTATATAAACTAGGTAGTGGAGTAAAATTTACATTTTGTGCTCACATGAAACAAATACCTTTATCAAAGGTCCTTTTTTATTGCTGCAACATGTTATCAATACAAATTTCCAATATTTCTTACTCTCCAAAGATAGTATGGCACCAAAATAAGTCTGTGATACCCACAAAAGAACACTCAAATCATGATTAGCAAAATGTCTTTAATTCTACAATAACTACGTACATTCTTAGATAATCATTACACCATTGACTTTAGTTATTAGTGTCATAACCAGCCTCAAAATTTGGTCATGCTATTCAAATTTGAAATAATCACTACTCATTTGTTTAGAAATTGATTGTTTTCACAATCTAGAACATGAAAATATTTGCAAATAGCATGACCAAGTGTTGTTGGACTGGCATCATCATAATTAGTAGTTATAAAAAAGTAATGTTTTCCAAGGCAGTAATGTTTGCTAAAGCAGTAATGTTTGCCAAAGCACATAATTGGATTATGTAGTGAAAATA